AAATTTCTTAAATCGACTTCTAAATAGGTGAAAACTACTCCTAAAGTTGGGATAGAAAGTTGCCTACGTCCGGACGCTCCAAGCACCGTCCGAATGGTACTCCTTATCCAAAAACTTTATTTTTCATCAAAAACAGTGAGTTTGAACCGTCTGGATGCCCAATGATCATTCGGACGCTACCCTAAAAATGACTCCAATCAGTTTTAGTATTTTTCTCCGTTTTTCACCCTATAAATACCATAAGAGCGTCTCTTTAGCTATTTTCATCAGTTTTCAACCTTAGACAACCCTAGAGAGCGAGAGAGAAAGAGAAACACAAGACTCAAAGGGATTCTCACATTGGAATGGATCAAACACGCTAGGTTTACACACAAACTACGAAATTGAGATAAGAGATTCTTCTCAAGTTCTTTCATTGAGACTTAGGGTATAATTATGTATGATTTCAATATTCTTGATAATTATATGATAGATATATATAAATTCTTGGTTTTTTATTATTGGAACATAGTCTTGACCAAAATACATGTTTGGGTTCAAAGAATACATGTTCTTGAATTTCAAAAACCCTAGTTTTTCTAAAATACATGTTCTATTGTGAAATTCATATGGATTCTTGATTTCTAAATTCCTATTCTTGATTAAATCATGTTTTCATCTAATATTTGTTCTTGTTCCAAGAAATTATGATTTTTGGCTAAACCCTAGAATTTTGATATCGAAATTGTGAATGTTTTCTTGAGATGATCTCTCGCATATTTTAATTCCTTTAGTACGATAGTATATTGAGAATTGTGGATTTGTAATACTTGAATTGTTAATGAAGATTGTGATTGGTTAAGATTGTGGTTGTTGAGAATATTGTGGTTTCATCTCTTGTAATGATTTGTTGTGATGGACTTGAATTGTCTTCAAGAGCTGCCGTAGAGTGTTAGAGATTAGTCTATTCTAATGGGAGTGAGATGGTTGCCTAACACTTGTAGTGGATTTTTGTTTGTGAGAATAACCACTATTGTTCACGTAAATTTGAGACTGATGGATGGTATACTTTTTCTGGGAAGGATTCGTCAATGCTGTGGGAAACGATATACACCTTCCTAAAGTGGTTTGTGATTTGATCATGCGGGGAATGATTGAGATTATGTGGTTGTGGTGGGTGAATGAGGCAAAATCGTTGTGTAGATTCCTGAGTAGCAACCAACATACATGACAATGACGATGAACTAAAATATATAAGAATATGGAATGATGTTACTGAGATATTTATTGATTGCTTTAATTTCTTGCAAGTTTATTCCTACCATTAATTTACTGTATTCCGTACACTTGAGATCATTACAACTATCATAGTTTTATTCTCAAATTCTATATATGCTATTTTTTCAAAAAAGACTTGTCATCTTTTATTGTTTTAAACCTTGTTGGAATTTGAGAGGGATTTCCTACGGGCTTTTGCTCACCCCCTACAACACACTTACAGATTTTGGCATAGAAGAGGATGTCAATGTAGATGAGCAAATTGATTACGAGCCATTGGAGGATCAAGATGTGGATCCTACCTTAGAAGAATAGAGTTGTTATATTTTTGATTTAGAGGTTGAGAGATTTTTATGAAACAATGTTTTATCTAGTTTTTATTATTCCGCTGCTAGATATTCTTGGTTTTGAATTGTAAGTTAGAGAAGTTTTAATGTTTGATTAGCTTTAATATTTATTCCTTGTCAAATTGATGAATGAATTATTATTTAATGGTTATTTTTAGTTGCTCTCATGGTTAGATAGTTTGTAAATAGTAATGTCTTCCAAGGTGGATTTTGGGATGTTACATTATTTCTGTTGTAGTAACTATTTTTATCATTTTTTTGGCATAAATAAAATTACCAGTTGTGGGTTATTTATCATTTTTTGTAGATATTTTTACCATTTTTATGGATATTTTTTACTACTGTTGTAATAATTATTTTAATCACTTTTTTTGTTAATCACAATAATAATAAAAACACCTATAAAAATAATAAAGTAATACAATACGGTACCGTAGACAACTCATAACATTAATGATTATTTGTTTTAGACTAAAACAAGTACAGACATGCAAGTCAAAGTGTCATTTGTTTAAAAATTGTGTCGAATTTCCAATTATTTGGCATTACTTTTTTTTTTCCCTTTAAGATTTAATGTCTCAATCCTTTTTTTCTTTAAGAATAAACAAGTGAAAATAAGAGAGGAAATTGACTTCAAATAGGTCTTGCTTTTTGAAACACTAAAATTGATATTAAGTTGATACTAAAAAGTTAAAAAAAAAATCGAAAAGTGATAAGTTTTATCTCAAAAATTAAAATAAATACCTAAAAAAGAAATAAATATCCTAATTAAGTCAAAATAATATTTTCTTAATACCAATACCCAAAAATATAATAATGGTACAATACCCAAAAAAAATAAAAATTAGTACCATAGTCAAACCCAAAACTCTATTATTAAGCAATGAAAATGATTGCATCAAAATGTTGTTGTTTTTCACCCTCCACAAAATAAGAATTTGTAATTTTGCATGACAAAATTACATGGAATCCTTGAGGCTTGGTCAAATGACAAAAGCAATCCTAAACGGCGTGAAATTGGATCCTTGTTAACAGGCTGGTACAAAGATATTGTCAACCTTTCTTTAACAAATCAAAACAAATTAAATAAAAACAGGCATCATGAAACCCATATTTGGCTAACGGATGGATATATATGGGATGAATTTAATAACTTGAGATTAAAAAGTTAAATGGGGTACAAAAGGATATATAAGAGGTCGGAATAGCCCCACACATTTTAATAAGTGTAAATTGTTGAAAATTAGTGATGCCTTGTACAGTCCACGGTGTTTTTAATCTCTTTTATCACAATTCTTCCACCACCAATCGCCATAGCCACAATCACTGCCACCGCCACCCCTTATTGCCACTCTTGACCCTGACTTTGACCCTGATCATAGTATTTTTAGAAATTATTCATTATTGTGCTAAACTAAGGAAGATTAAATAAATTAGTTTTTTGTGAATAATTGCATAAGTCATATAGAATGATTTAATTTGATATGATCACTGCAATGTTATTAAATAATTTTAAATTAAAAAACTTAATACTTGACGAGGGAAAGTGTAATAGCCACTTTCTCTCCTAAATTAATTGTTATAGTATGCAGTAAATATAAATTTATAGGGGAAAGTCTATGTGCGTGTGCGAGAGAGACAAAAAAGAGAGATGATGTGAGAGAAAGTTGGGGCAGTAAAAAAATTTTAAAAATTATCCTATTAATCAGGAATTAAATCTATACTACTTATAAACGTGGCTAATAATGAAAATTTTTTTATTTTTTCTTTTACCCTCAATTAATATAATAAAGTCCATTATATCCCTCTTACCCTTTTAACTTCTTAAATTAAATGCATAAATCTCTCATATTTTATGATCTTCTAAAATTAATTACATTCATAAACATCTATATCTATACTACTTATAACACTATTTAATTTTTTACTACCAATCGTGTCATATTGCATCATTCAATATTACACCAAATCAACTGCGGTCGTTAGATCAGTAATGGAATTCATTGATCCAACGGTTGCAAATGATTTGATGCAAGATTTGGTGCACATAACATTGTTCATATTATATTATTTATCTATATTATTTCTAAACGTCAATCCTTATACAAAACTTTTGATTGACAATAATATCATTACAACATGCTAAAAATCAAATAATATTATTTTATTATAATTTTTCACTGGCTAAAAATCTCTTTTGCGTGTTACTATCAATTAAAGAGACATAACTCTTATAGAACCCTTAGAGTTCCATAACTCAAATTCTTTTAGACGTACAATTTTTATGTTTCTTTATTTATTCGCACATTTTTATTTATTCTTATTTTTATTTACAATTTTTTTATGTTAATTTTGAGTAGTTGGTTTCAAGTAACACAAACTACAATAGTACTATTTGTTGAAAGCACATAAGATTATTGTATCTACAATGATGAAATTTGTGCCACCTATTACTCAAAATATCAAACTTAAGTTTGGTCACATTAATTTAGAAATCAAACATTGTATAAATTTATACGTTAAAACTTAAGAGAACTAAGATTTTGGTGCGATAATAATTAATTTATGTGCTCGATAAAACAATTCTAGAATACATCATTACATATAAGTTTTATTTAATTATATTTTGATTCATAAGTATATATTTGTTAATATATTTATTTGATTATTTTGTAAGAATAAGAAATAGCTATGATCTTAATTAAAATTAAGATAAAAGCTATAATACGTATATCCGCCACCAATTGGAACTTGAACAATTTCATGTCTTTTATATTCTCGCTTCTTTTACAATTATGTTATAGACCAAGAAATATGAATTAATCATGTAGCATAAAATGTTTATTCATAACACGCTCGATCCAAGTCTTTTGAACAAACAATTTTATGAAATATTTTTTTGAAGTGTTTTGAAGATGCTTCGACATTAGCTATGCATAAGATCTATTTTTTAGAAGATTGTCTTTTTTGCATTTTGCATAAGAAAAATCAGCAGACACAATTATTGACATATTTGAGATTAGCAGGTAAGACTTTAATTGCGAATTTTATTGGTGATTATATATTTCAATTTAGAGAAAACTAAAAACTAAAATTATAATTTTAAATTATCAACGTGTAACGCACGCGTACATGGACTAGTAACTTAGAAAGGGTCAATGGCATTAGGGGGTGTCAATTTTTTGACAATTTAAAAAATAAATTTTTTACAAAATTAGAAAAGGGTTTTGGAGCTCATCCAAGTCCAATACATTGCCATATATTATGTATAGATTCAGTATAACCCGGTCCCCTCCCTTTTTCAGAGAACACTTCCGAGTCGAGTCCGAGTCATATTCAACCCGGGGCATAAATCTAAGCTAGGGTTTTAGGCGCACTCTCTCTCTCTCATTTCCAATTGGAAGCTCTCTCTCTCTCTTATATGTCTACAGTAGATATCTACACTTGCTGGGGAAGTAGGTAATTCATGTGTTAATTAATTGTAGCAGTTGATTGGAAGAGACTTGCATTATTATTTGAGTAAAAGAATGGCATCAATGGAGCAACCGACGCCATCTCTGAAGAGACGTGATTCAATGGCATCAAGAGAAGGGGATCAGCTGATTATAACCCCTTTAGGGGCTGGCAGTGAAGTGGGTCGGTCCTGCGTTTACATGTCTTACAAAGGGAAAACTGTTATGGTATCATTTCATAAACCCGTTGTTCTTTTTATTTTTTGTTACTTGTGGGTGTTTGGTTTTGTATTGCATTTAATGTGATTCAATTTGATTGTTGCAAGTTTGACTGTGGAATTCATCCTGCGTACTCAGGCATGGCTGCTTTGCCCTACTTTGATGAAATTGATCCTTCAACAATCGATGTTCTTCTTGTTACCCAGTATGTTATTCTATTTGTTCTTTTTTTGAACTTTTTAATTATTGTTGCAACATCCTTGGCTACTATTTTGAGGCTTTGTGGGTGGTTTACCTTTTGGTGGGAACTGTTATGTTGAGTTGAAAATGAAGATTTTGAACCGTAAGAGCAACTCCAAAAGGAGTTGCCATAAGGGGTGGCATCCTCATAACCGCTAAAATGTCATCCCAAATTCAAAAAATTGGACTCCAGGGGTGGCATCAGAGCAACTCCAAAGGGAGTTGTCATTTTTTGGTGTCAAATCACTCATTTGCAACCTTAGAGCAACTCCAAGGGGAGTTGCTATTTTTGGGGTGTCAAATGTCATTTTGCAACCTTGAACTGTGTTTTGGCACCCCTGATTTTTAAATTTGCTCTAATGATATGAACAAAAATGGGGTGCCATTTTAATATTTTTAGTATTTTCAATTCCAATTTCAATTTCAAGTTGTATTTTTAATTTCAATTTTAATTTCAAGTTGTATTTTCAATACATAATTTTTCATAAATAATAGCAGTACAAAAAAATTCATGGTGTAATATGACAATTCAAAAAAATTAATGGTGTAATATGACAATACAAAAAAATTTAATGATGTAATATGTAATATAAAAAAAATTTAGGGTACAAAGTATCATTTGTTCTAAAATAAATAGTAGTCTGGAACGATCAAAGGCAAACCCTTCCCTTTCCCCTTTCCCTTTCCCTTTCCCAACAATTCCGACTCTGCCCCCTTCCCCTTACCGTGCATTTTCGTTTCCAGGCAAGCAGTAGACACCAACGATTTTCAGGCAAACCTCCTTTCCCTTTCCTTCTCTCTATTTCCAACCGTTTTTTTGCAACCTCTACTTTCTCTCTACAGAGTTTATAAATTTGTCACCCCAAGTCCATAAGTGTCATTTTGCAACCTTTGATGTCACCCCCCTTGGAGTGAAGATATTTGATTTTGGGTTGGCATTTTGGCAGTTAGGGTTTGCCACCCCTGATGGCACCTGCCGTTGGAGTTGCTCTTAAACAGTAATTTGGCATACCTGAATTATAAATCTGCTCCAATAACTAGTGCCAAAATGGGTTGTCATTTTCATATTTTTATTCATCAATCTATATAAATTGTTGGATCTATATCCATCTAACGGGTCTATATTCATCAAACTCATTTGCAACCTCTCATTTTCTCTCTCTAAAGTTACCAAAAATGTCACCCCAAAAGTCTTGATGCTATTTTTCAACCCTTGATGCTATTTTTCAACCCTTGATGTCACCTCCTTTGGAGTCAAAATTTTGAATTTGGGGTGGCATATGGGATTGCCACCCTTGATGTAACTTTCCCTTGGAGTTGCTCTCAAGGGTTGCAAAATGGCATCAAGGGTTTTGGGTTGACATTTTTGACAACTCTGGAGAGAGAAAAGAAGAGGTTGCAAATTCACTGTTCAATCCCAACGGCTATATTCAACAACAATTTTTTACAAATACAAAGATTTTAAAAAGAAAACTTACCTGATTTTTACTCCTGATTTTTCTTCAATTGTTGGAATGGGACTCTCTGCTCCTAATTTTGCACCTGCTCCTGATTTTGAAATTTAAAATTTGAAATTTTTACTATAAAAATATATCTGTTAAATTACGATCGTTATGAAAATTATACCCGTTAAAATATAACCATTAAGTTTAATTATATATTCTAATAAAAAATATTAAAATGACACCCCATTTTAGCACCTGCCATTAGTGTAGATTTATAATTTAGGGATGCCAAAACACTGTTCAAGGTTACAAATGCTTGATTTGGCACCCCAAAATGGCAACTCCCTTTCGAGTTGCTCTAATGAGACTAAAAAGGGGGTACCCTGTTTACGAGATTTCTGCTATTGCGGAGGTTGAGAAGAGTTAAATGTATGCAACCTTACTTCTGAAATGATGAAACTGTATAGGCAATTTATATTTCGTGTACATTGATAAGGGTAAATGACATTTTTGAGCCAATTGCTACCATGATCTGTTAAGTTAAATGATGGTGGGACAATGACTTTGGTTTGAGTTGCTTTAATTTGGATGATATATTGGAAACAGGATACGAAATATCTAACCTACTGTTTTCTGGTTGGTTTAGTGTGGTGCTGAGAAATTGCCTCAATTTTATTTATGGGTAGAGTCAATTCACTCTTAAACTTGTTTGACCCATTCTCTAGATTCCACCCTTATCAGTGTTGAGGAAATAGATGAAGAAAAAGAAACCAAGGTGTTTTTTGTTTTTCATAACCTTTTCTATTTTTTTTTTACATAGCTTTTGTTGTGCATGTGCTGTGTGCCTATAATTTATTTTGTGACAGCATCTTCAAGTAAACTTTTCTTTCTACTTTTCAGGACTTTCTTATCTCAACTTTCCTTTTCTTTTGGGTTTTTTTCGCACTTAATTTTGTTCCCTGATTGATCATACTACAATGTTCTCTGTGCAGTTTTCACTTGGATCATGCTGCATCCCTTCCATATTTCCTAGAGAAGGTTCGTTGCTTTCTCGACTTGTTTTAATTTAACTAATTTTTGCCAATTTCTTTTTAGATAAACTAAATGAATTGGCTTGTTTTCAGACAACATTCAAAGGGCGGGTTTTTATGACACATGCAACAAAGGCTATCTACAAGTTGCTTTTGTCTGATTACGTGAAAGTGAGCAAAGTTTCAGTTGAAGACATGTTGTACAATGAACAAGACATTCTTCGCTCCATGGATAGAATAGAGGTTTGTTCTAATGTTGTTGCTATATGTTTGGTCTCCATCTTTGTTTGGCCTTTTGGTCTTTCCATTTTCCATCATAATTTAGGTATTAATTTCATACCTTTATGTGAATCTCACACAAGCAATTTTTTTTTGAGATTAAACTTTGTTTTCTTACTACAATGATAAGATCTCAGTTAACAAAGTACAAACATTCTTTTACGCCGGTAACTTAGTTCAGCTTGCTATGTCTTCCCTTTTTCTTTACATATCTCAAAATAATTAAATCAAGCTAGTGAAGATGTTTCATTTTTGTATCTCTTGAACTAGACTCACCCTTCTCTAAGGCAATTCTTCATGCACCGTGTGTTTTTTTTTCTTTTTGAAGTAAACCATTCCTCAGGAACTCTACTTTGGCATTATGTTAATTTCTGTCCTCATCTGTCATCACTCTGCATGCGGACCGCATAGAATAGGAATGATTAATTGCAGATATGCAGTCAGTTATAACTAATGAAGAAAGAGGAGCATCCATAAATTGACTGAAACTGTTATGTAGCCAATTATTTATGCAACCATTACAGGAGCACTTCTGCATGCAGTTTTTGGATATCTACATAGTAAACTCATGTAAATAAAATCACAACTTACTTATCGTAAACTTCGTCTCACGCAACACATCAAACCCCCTTTCTGCAGGTTATCGATTTCCATCAGACTTTAGAAGTAAATGGTATCCGGTTCTGGTGTTACACCGCTGGCCACGTCCTTGGTGCTGCCATGTTCATGGTTGACATTGCTGGTGTTCGAGTCCTGTACACTGGAGACTATTCACGTGAAGAAGACCGGCATCTCCGAGCTGCTGAGCTCCCACAGTTCTCCCCTGACATTTGCATTATTGAATCCACTTACGGTGTTCAACTTCATCAGCCGCGCCATATTCGAGAGAAGCGCTTCACGGATGTCATTCACTCTACCCTTTCACAAGGAGGTCGTGTCCTAATCCCAGCATTTGCCCTTGGCCGTGCACAAGAACTCCTCCTGATCCTTGATGAATATTGGTCAAACCATCCCGAGCTCCATAACATTCCCATATACTATGCTTCCCCTCTTGCAAAAAGGTGCATGGCTGTTTATCAGACCTACATCAATGCCATGAACGAGAGGATCCGCAATCAATTTGCCAACTCAAACCCTTTTGATTTCAAACACATATCGGCGCTGAGTAGTATTGAGAATTTTAATGATGTAGGCCCATCGGTTGTGATGGCAAGCCCAAGTGGGCTTCAGAGTGGGTTGTCTCGACAGTTATTTGATAAGTGGTGCTCTGACAAGAAAAATGCTTGCGTTATTCCTGGGTATGTTGTGGAAGGTACATTGGCAAAAACGATCATTAACGAACCAAAGGAAGTTACCCTTATGAATGGCCTCACTGCTCCTCTTAACATGCAGGTACATTACATTTCCTTCTCGGCTCATGCAGATTATGCCCAGACGAGTGCATTCTTGGAAGAGCTTATGCCTCCTAACATAATTCTTGTTCATGGAGAAGCCAATGAGATGGGGAGGCTCAAGCAGAAGCTTATTTCTCTGTTTGCTGATGGCAACACCAAAATTATTTCTCCTAAGAACTGCCAGTCTGTTGAAATGTATTTCAACTCCGAGAAAATGGCAAAAACTATTGGAAGGTTGGCTGAAAAGACCCCTGAAGTTGGTGAAACTGTCAGTGGTTTGCTGGTAAAGAAAGGGTTCACTTATCAGATCATGGCACCTGATGATCTTCATGTGTTCTCACAACTATCAACTGCAAATGTCACACAAAGGATTACCATTCCTTACTCAGGTGCCTTTGCAGTGATAAAACACAGACTCAAGCAGATATACGAGAGTGTGGAGTGTTTGACAGATGAGGAATCTGGGGTTCCAACCTTGCGAGTGCATGATTGTGTAACAGTGAAGCAGGAATCAGAAAAGCATATTTCAATGCATTGGACGGCCGATCCTATTAGTGATATGGTGTCGGACTCTATTGTGGCTCTGGTTTTAAATGCCAGCAGGGAGATGCCTAAGGTGGTGGTGGAGTCGGAGCCTGAAACAAATGAAGCAGAAAATGAGAAGAAAGCAGAGAAAATCATCCGCTCACTCCTCGTTTCTCTCTTTGGAGATGTTAAGGTTGGAGAGGATGGGAAGCTGGTGATAAGTGTTGATGGGACTGTGGCTCATCTCGATAAACAGACTGGTGATGTTGAAAGCGAAAATGAAGGTCTAAAAGAACGTGTGAAGATGGCGTTTCGTCGGATTCGAAGTGCTATGAAGCCAATTCCACTCTCTGCATCTTAGCTTCCGTTCATACTTTTTTACTATGATGTTAAACCTTCAACGAGTGTAGTTGATCTTTGATGTTACCATGCTGTTAAACCTTCAATGAGTGTAGTTGATCTTTGATGTTTTGTAGGCTCTATAGAATGAAAGCCAACACTAATTCTCAATGCATTAGGGCTTGTGCAAATTGTTCCTCTCTCCTTTTTTCTTGATGTTTCTTTTCAGTTTTATACTTTGGTGCTTTTGAATCTGATACAGATAGGTATGGTAGTCTTATTACTTGAGTTGGTTGGGTGCACTAAACATCTGTTTGAGGTGTTTTTTGTTCTTCTATCAGACAGCAAATGCTTGGTGGATTGGACAATTACGCTGGTCAGGATCTTTGTCATGGTGCTACTATGAAAGATCAAAGAAACTGTAGGGGGTGTTTGGAATATGTTTGTAAAACAGTTTTCTCTTCTCTAATTTCTAAAAATAAGAAAAAATTTGTTTGGTCATGTTTTTTGTTCTCCAATTTTTACAAAAAAGTGAAAACTGAACAATGTTTTTTGAGAACAAAAAAATGGTTTTCTCCTGGTTTTCTAAGCTAAAATGAAAATACGGAAAACAAGTCATCTCCTCTTTAATGAGGTCTCGACTTTGAGTTTCGTCAGAGACAAAATAGTGTTCTCTCTTGCAACTCAGTTCATCAGCCTCTCTCTCTCTCTCTCTATATATATACAAAAATTTTAAAATTTGTTTCAGAGACATTCTAAAATATTGGTTGAAATATTTCGAAAACACCTTGAAATTTTACAAAATTCTTTGAAGTGCAAGATTTTTTATATTCAATCCCTATTTTGTTTTAATTTTTACAAAAATATAAATAATTTAGTCATTTTGGTAGACTCGTGCAATTTGTACAAATTTATCATGATTTAATCTAAAGTGTAAATTTTGAATCCAAATTTGACACCTCTAATCATAGAATTATATGTGATTAAAATTTTGAAACTTGTGTAATATAAATTAGACTGAAATTTAGATTAGGGCAATTGGATTTAAACATTTATATAGATGGAAGTGGTAATAATAATGATAGAATGGTGATAGTTGAACCCTTTTTCAACATTATCTGATTCACGCAACTACTATCGTAAATGAATTTAGACATGCGATCATTTAGAGAAAAGTGAGACTTATCCCAACTGCTCAAGCCAACTCTTCTACCACTTCCTTGGTATGACTTTAGTTGTTTAATATGATAAAAGAGTTTTATCTATTCACCACTTAAATTTCAATATATACAAAATATAATCTAGATTATAAGAACTTTTTCTCTCTTTTTTTTTTTTTTGGAAAAAGATTAGAAGAACTTAATCACTAAAAATTTAGCATGCAATTTAGTACTTAATTTTTTAATTTTGTCAAACACCACCCCAAAATTAAATACTCAATAGTTGTGGGGTGAGGAAGTAATTTAAGCCTTTTTACCTTTCACACATTTCCCACCCCAAAACAAGATGATCTGACACAAATATTACCATTACCATTACCATTCCACCACCACCATCATCATCATCATCACACAGCACATGTCTTCCAAACCCGTGATCTTCCCTGCTTCTTCCGCCAAACTACCCAAACACGTTAATCGCCATAAGCCCCACCTACATTGAACCCCCACCCCCCATGTTTTTAAAAGCATCAAGACCTACTCCAACAATACTTTATACCTTTTATCTACTCCAACAATACTTTATACCTTTTATCTTAGGGAGGATAAGGATTAATCGGACATTCATTCTGCTTTTGTTCTTCTCAAATCGCTCGCAGACAAGTTGGTTTGGTCAGTTTTGTTTTTTGTAGAGAATTTTTGTTTATATTTGACTTTTTTGATCAGAAGCTACAACTACAAGATGTGTATTTGGTTGAATCCAATGTGTTTTTCTTTTGGAATATATGTATGTCAATACATTGAAATCGCATAATTAGATAGCGTCAATGATTTATTTAGTTTGAGAAATGTAGCAGATTTAGAAGAAGGAATCTATCATATTTGAAGGCTGAAGTTCTGCTCTCTTTTTTTTGTTTTTGACTTAAAAGGGTTTCGTTCATGTCTATGTGGCTATGTTTGTTATGTATATTTGCACACTGTAATGATATTAACGTCCCATGTTAGTCATGTATGGCTATGGGTTTGCCATATATGTGTTAAGAATATCAGATCAGGTCTAACTCTCAACAATATCTCCACAGATGGTGGCAGCTGTCAATAGAATCTAGTTTCAGTTTCAATTTTATTTGACTATTTGCATTCGTATCTTATCTTATCTTTCTGCTGTAACAATCAATACTTATCACATTGTAACTACTCTGCTTATAAATACTAAGCATACCAGACAGGATAGTTATCCTTGCTAATTAGCCATTTAGACTTTCTTTCTTGGTATCAGAGCAAATCGTTTTACACCTTTTTCATGGCTGCATCCAATCTCACTTCCGCACCATTCTCCATTCCCAATATGTCTCATCCTGTTTATACCAGACTTGATGACACAAATTACCTTGCATGGGTGTGTCAATTTACCCCCATCTTGAGGACAAATGGGCTTGTGGGCATTGTTGATGGCTCAGAACCTGCTCCTCCTAAGCTCATTGCTGATCCTAGTCAACCAGACAAAATGAATCCCAATCCTGCTTATGAGACTTGGGAGAAGAAAGACCAATTTATTTTAAGTTGGTTTATAGCTGCACTGTCTGATAAAATTGTTCCAACAGTGTATGGCTTAAACACCTCTAGGCAGGTGTGGACAGCATTATCTATTAGGTATGCTTCACCTTCAAGATCCAGAGTCATCACTTAAGGAGACAACTTCAAACAACCAGACAGGAATCACGTACCTGCAGTGATTTCATTCACTATTCTAAGAGTATAGCTGATCAACTTGCCCTTGTAGGCAAACCAGTAAGTGATGAAGAGCTAATCTCTTATATTGTGGGTGGTCTCAACCCTCAATATAATTCTTTTGTCACTTTTTATTCCTTTGCTACAAAGGATACTGCTATGACATTTGAGGAGTTTCAATCTGAGCTACTCGGTTATGAACAACTACTAGGAGCACAAACACAAACTATTGAGTCCAGTTCCTTTGCTCTATACTCCAATAAAGGACCTGGACAGAATAGGAAACCCAAGTATGGGTCATCTCAGAAACCCAACTTTGGCAAAAACCTTGCACAAAAGAAACCATTTTCTTCAACCAGCAATACCCATCAAGGTAAACCATCCTCAAATCAGTTTGCCACTAATAAGCCTCCTTGTCAGATCTGTGGCAGGACCAACCATCAATCCTTGGACTGTTTTCATAGGATGGACTATGCATACCAAGGCAGACACCCATCTAAAGAACTTGCAGCAATGGTGGCTCAATCCAACCTTTTTCATGATGATGAAACATGGCTGGCAGACAGTGGAGCTATAAATCATATCACAGCAGACTTGGCAAACCTTACATTGCAGCAACCATATCAGGGTACTGAGACTGTAGCTGTAGGAAATGGTAATGGCTTAAATGTTACACACACTGGTTCCACTACCTATCATCTTCCCACCTCTGATTTACATCTAAATGATATCTTGCATTGTCCCAATGTTTCCAATAATCTGTTGTCTATTCAAAAATTCTGTCAAGACAACAATTGCTATTTCAAACTGACTGATTCTTATTTCTTGGTGAGGGACAACTTGACAGGGGCAATCTTCCTACAGGGACCCAGTGAAGGCAGCTTATATCCTGTGCATCACAATAAGTATGTCACCAATAAAAGAGCATCTGTAGCACTGATGGGAATCAAGGCATCAACAGATATCTGGCACAAAAGATTAGGCCATCCTAATCCTCAAACTCTACATCGAGTCCTTAAAAACTACCAGCTACCTGTGTCATCCAATAAATTCCACTCAGAGCTATGTATGCCTTGTCAATTGGGAAAGAGCAAACATTTACCTATTAATAAGTCTGACCGTGTGTCTTCTAGGTCTCTAGAGTTGATTCACAGTGATGTATGGACCTCACCAGTTTTATCAATAAATGGATTCAAGTATTATGTTCTCTTTATTGATGATTTTTCAAGATATTCTTGGTTATTTCCTCTAAAGTTCAAATCTGATCTGTTTGATTGTTTTGTCAAGTTTAAATGCATCATTGAAAACCAACTCTCTTGCAAAATTAAGCAATTCCAAACAGATGATGGAGGTGAATATACTAAAAATTTATTCTCCAAATTTCTGACTGACAATGGAATCTATCATCGACTTACTTGTCCTCGTACATTCCAACAAAATGGGATTGCTTAGAGGAAACACAGGCATGTGAGTGAAACTAGTCTAACTCTTTTAGCCCAATCTCATCTTTTATCCACATACTGGGTAAAAGCGTTTCATATAGCAGTTCACTCAATCAATTGACTTCCTTCCTCTGTGTTGCAATTTGAGATACCTCTTACCAAGTTATTTAATAAAGAACCAGACTTCTCCTTTTTAAAATTTTTGGTTGTGCATGCTATCCTCTTCTTCGACCATACACCAAACACAAGCTGGAATTTAGAAGCAAAAAATGTGTCTTCTTAGGCTATGGTACCAATCATAAAGGCTATAAATGTCTAGATTTGCAAACTAATAAAATTTACATGTCAAGACATGTAGTCTTTGATGAGAACTTATTCCCCGCACAGGAGAAAGGCTGCACTCTCTACCCTGCTCGAGGACAATCCTCTCCATCAGGTACTATCCTCTTACCTTCTCATTTTTATTCACTGAATTCTCCCCCTATTCCTATGCATTCACCTCAGAATATGCTCACAAGTAGTCACATTCCCTCCAATCAACTCAGAGTTGAGCCTAACCTATCACCAACTCCACCTCAAATACTGAACTCCCACTAACAGTCAATTCAGTTGACTTTGAGACAGCCACCGCTCCTAATCAAACCTCAGATCCTATAACATCATCCTCTTCTTCACAGCTCCTTACTCATGCCTCAGAAATAGCATCCCCTCCCACTCCAACCTCTGCTTCTTTACCTGATTTACCTCCTGCACAGATCATCACTAGATCCATGACAGGAACTTCCAAACCCAAACAATTCCCTGACTATCATTTGTATCTCTCCAACAAGTCCACCAATCATCCTGTTAAAGTCTTACATACCAGTTTTCTGCCATGTGAACCCACATCATTTTCTAAAGCTATGTCTAATCTTGATTGGTTCTCTGCAATGCAAAGTGAATACCAGGCTTTGCTGGATAATCAGACATGGAGCCTTTGCCCGAGACCCAAAGACATAAATGTTATCCATAATAAATGGGTGTACAAGTTAAAGCAAAAACCAGATGGTACCATTGATAGATATAAGGCCAGATTAGTTGCGAAAGGATTTGAACAAAGAGATGGCATTGACTATACAGAAACATTTAGTCCAGTAATAAAACCAGACACCATTCGTTTACTTTTGGCTATTGCACTACACTTTGACTGGCCTATCAAACAATTGGATGTATCCAATGCTTTCCTTCATGGTTTTCTCAATGAGGAAGTTTTTATGGAACAACCTCAAGGTTTTGTGGATAGAGCATTTCCTAATCATGTATGCAGGTTGCATAAGGTTCTCTATGGCCTTAAGCAAGCCCCAAGGGCATGGTATACTCGACTTACTCAAGCACTACAAGGTCTTGGCTTTACAGGTTCTCTATTGGACACTTCTCTATTTATGTATCACAATGGTCCAGTACATATTTATGTGCTCATCTATGTTGATGATATACTAGTGACTGGTTCTCACAACTCTAGTATTATGGGGCTAATTCAAAGTTTGCAAAAGGAATTCAAGATGAAGGACTTGGATGACTTGAGTTACTTTCTGGCATTCATGTACACAGAACCTCTACAGGGATGCATCTCAATCAAGCTAAATACATCTATAGTCTACTAGATCGTACCAATATGCTTGGAGCCAAGCCTTATTCAGCTTCTTGTGTTTCTGGATAGAAGCTAAGCAAACTTGAGGGTGATCCTTTACCTGATCCCACCATTTATAGACATATTGTTGGTGCTCTACAATATTGCACCCTTATAAGGCCTGATATCTCCTATTCAGTAAATCAACTATGTCAGTTTTTACATTGTCCTACCACTGTTCATTTTACAGCAGCAAAGAGGGAACTAAGGTATCTAAAGGGCACCATTGATCATGGCTTATTTTTAAAACCAGGACCACTGCAATTGGTAGCATATTGTGATAGTGATTGGGCTGGAGATCCTCTAGACAGAAGATCAACCATGGCTATGGAGTGTTCCTAGGCAATTGTTTAATCTCATGGCAAGCAAAGAAACAGTCGATTGTATCTAGATCCAGCACAGAAGCAGAGTACAGAGCTATGGCCTTTGCTACAGCTGAGTTATATTGGTTAAGAATGTTTTTCAAAGACTTGCAGTGCTCAATTGAGTCTACTCCACAGCTGTGGTATGATAATATGGGCGCATTAGCACTAGCCTCCAATCCTATTTTTCATGCTAGAACTAAATATGTGGAGGTTGATTATCATTTCATTAGAGAAAAAGTGATTAACAAAGACATCATTCCTCGATACATAGCCACTGCTGATCAGATAGCAGATGTATTTACAAAGGGACTCACTTCTTCAAGATTCTTGTTACTCAGAGACAAACTAATGGCCACTGAATCTCCCATCAGTTTGAAAGGGGATGTTAAGAATATTATATCAGGTCTAACTCTCAACAATATTTCAACAGATGGTGGCAATTGTCGATAGAGTCCAGTTTCAGTTTCAATTATATTTGAATATTTGCATTCATAATTTAACTTATCTTTCTGCTGTAATAATCAATACTTATCACATTGTAACTACTCAGCTTATAAATACTAAGCATACCAGGCAGGGTAGTTATCCTTGCTAATTCAGCCATTTAGACCTTCTTTCTATATGAGCCCTTGGGCACCTTTCCTTGCTTTGTCATTTTTCAGGGATAAGTTGTGGCTTAATGATCGTCGTCACAGGAGGGGAAACGCAAGGTAAGATTACATTACTGGTAGGCTTTGTGGGAAATTGAATGGATTGCAGTGCATGCTGGCTTTGTAAACATGATGGTATGTTGAAATCTTAAATGTCTCACATTGGTTTAAGTATGGATTTTTTCCGGATAGTAAAGTATGGACTTAATTGTGTTTATATGAACTCGAGGGCACCTTCTCTTGCAAGTCGATTGTGTGAGTTATAGTCATGAGTTCATATCAGACATTTTTCGAAGTTATCAAATGTTTGAGAAACGTAGCAGATATTGACAAAGGTAATACGAAGGTTTGATCTTTTTTGACTTTCTAGGGATTGATTCATGTGTGTGTGGCTATGTTTGTTTTGTATATTTCCACAATGTTATGGTCTTAAATGTCCAATGTTGGTCGATTATGGGTGTTGCTGTATATGAGCCCTTGGGCACTTTCTTGGACATCTTTCCCTTGCTAGTCGATTTTCTGGGAGATTTCCTATCTGTGTGATCATATCACTTGTTTTGCTCTCTCTCTCTCTCTCTGGAATTTTTTTTGGGGGTGGGCATTTTCTCGAGGTGCAAAAGGTAAATAGTTGTGTGAGTTCACATCTATTCTGTCTACAACTGTACTCTATTAATGAAAGCATCATGCTTTGTCATCTTCATAGTATGACTTTCATCAGGGTCGGCCCAGACGATAAGTCACTAACCAGCCACTTAGGGGCCCCAAATAAGAGGGTCCTTCAATGTTGTCAATTGTCACTATCACTCAAATGAAAAAATCACGTACATAATTAAAGCTCTGCAACTCTCTCTCTCTCTCTCTCTCTCTCTCTCTCTCTCTCTCTCTCTCTCTCTCTCTCTCTCTCTCTCTCTCTCTCTCTCTCTCTCTCTCTCTCTCTCTCTCTCCTCTCTCTCTCTCTCTCTCTCTCTCTCTCTCTCTCTCTCGAACAATTAAGTGCGACCAACAACTCTACGCATAAAAAAAATTAGAATTATTCACCTAATTAGGTGTGACATTCTTACCCGATTTTCTATTTGATTAATCGGATAAGAAGTCAGATAAATACTTTTGTAGCTACTAATTTTTAGATCATTTTAACAATTCAATTAAATAACATGCTTCAATATAACAACACAATAAATCAATAAGACTAAAACATAAAACCACTACAACAACAATTGCAATAAAATACAAGAAAATATAAACATCAATCCATCATAATTGTTACACAAATACAATAACAATTATTTTAAGTTTAAACTATATGAAACACATTAAAATCATAACTGCTCCAATAGATTACCAGTTCATTACAAATCATATAACCTATACAAAAAATAAAACTATGTTTTTAGCAACTCAAACATCCACAACAATAACAATGTTATAATATAAATTATACCACATAAATACTCTTATAATTACAAAAAGAATATATATAAAGTTAAATATATTTTTTGTGGGTAGGATAGGGTAGGAATGTGAAAATCGAAAGACCAAAAACTCTTCCGCATTCCTACCAGATTTTTGCGGCTAGCCGTTCAGTAGGGTAGGATCGGGTAGGCACATATTTAACTCAACAAAATATATATATATATATACACACACACACTTATTCTTACACAACTAAATTTTTTGCATTACACAAAAAATATTTTGAATTTTTTTTTGTTTGAAAAAATTAAAATCATTAGATGATTAAGAGTTTAAAAAAATACTAGTTATTTCTCGTGACTGAAAACACAGAATAATAAAAAAATAGTCAACAATAACTATATTTATATTCACACCCCAAAAACAAATTACAAAGATAGAAGAGAGAGAAAAGAATTTAAACTCTAGTTGTAGTGGGGGCGAGTGGTGTAGTGAGAGACGGTGATGGGTGACGACGACCGATTATTATAGTGGTAGTTGTGGGTGGCAATGGTGGTGGGGGTGGTGATAGTAGGAGTGATGGTGGGACAGTGACGGAGGTGATAAGGTGACAACAACGATGATAGTAGGGGTGGTGGGGGTGGGGATTGTGGTGATGGGGGTAGTGGTGAAAGAAGTGGTGGTGGGGTGGTGACAATAATGATAGTGGTTGTTGTTGTTGTGACAGAGGTGGTGGTATGGTGGCATCGACAGCAGTGGTGATGGTGGTGGTGGTGGTGCGGTGGGGTGGAGGAGACAGTTCCAAACATTATTTTTTTTAAAAATATTTATGAGAAGTTATAAATTCTATAAGTACTTTTACCAATTGCTCGGCTTCAATCCAAGCAGGTGAGTTCTTACCATCTCGAGTTTGTCTCTGCTAATGTCCATCTTGTCAAAGGTTGATGCAATGATGATATCAGCAGAGCTTTCGTTGTCAATAAGTACCCAATGAAGGGTTCTGTTGGCAATGATAGCTCTGACTACTAAGGGATCATCGTGAAAGTGCTGACAGCTCTCTAGATCTAAGTCTGAGAAGGTGATATCCATACTTAGTCAAGGTTTTTTAGACACAGATTGTATCTCCAAAACATCTTAAGCTCGAACTTTTTGCCTATGGACATTCCTGGTTGAGCTGGTTTTTCCCCTACATATCCTCTTGAAATCACCCTGATTTCTCCTAAGGGTTGTTAGTGCTGTGGAGGGGCCTGCTGCAAAGGTGTTGGAGGTGGGTGAGCTTGGTTCTAATTGTCTTGTGCTACGAAGTGGCACAATTGTCATCTTTGAATTAGGAACTCGATCTCCTTCTTCAATTAGATGCAATCATCAGTGAGGTGGCCATGGTCCCAATGATATTCATAGTACTTCGTTATGTCCTGCTTGGCGGGGTCAGCCTTCATCCGAGGTGGCCATCTCAGGAACTTTTCATTTTGTACCTCATAGAGTACTTGGGACACCATGGCGTTGAGGGGAGTGAGTTGTCTTTGGCGAAAGCTCGACACCGCACTAGGCCTTGATAACCATACAACTTTATCTGCTTCTTGTAGGTGTTGAGATGATCCATGTGATCCTTTGTTCGGTCAAAGGCCTTTATCTGTGACATTCTGAATTTTGGTGGAAGAAAAAAGTATAGCATTCCTAGAGTGAATGGAGACTTTGTCTGTTGGGCCAGGGCGTCCATAGTCATCGGAGTTTTGCTTTTTACAGCCTCCTTTATATGGTTGAGCTCCTGCTGGATCTCCTTGAAGCATTGCTCCTAGAATTGCTCATTCCTCCACTGCTAGAATGAGGGGAGCTCGTTCCTATGAGTCTCCCTGTTATGACTTTGCATTTCCTTGTCTTCTTTATTCCTTTAAATCCGACGATGGAAATTGCTAACTGAACAATTGTGCTCATCCCTTCCGTAATATCCCTTTAAGCACCTAATTATTATTATTATTATTATTTATTATTATTATTGCTTTTGCTTCAATGTTAAATGGAAGAGGGTAAGGTGGATCTATCAAAGCCAGCACATGCAAATAGGGAGGGGGAGTAAAGGGTCAGCAATGATAGGCCCCCCACTTCCCTTACACTTACCCACCATCTTGATGATCACATGAATTCAGTGTCCTTGTATACGCGTGTCCTCGCGTTATTGGTTTGGTTTGTACTAAGTTACACTCCTTTTCTTCTCCTTGAAGCCATTCCAGTAACATAAATAATGACCTTTTAATAATTGATCTCTCATTCTCACTCCGTCTCTCTCACTTAGTTATCAAACCACCACCACCACCATTCTGTAAATTCGGACCTGGTCACTCCCAAAGTAAAGTGATCACCATGGCTGAGAAGGTATATGCAAATCTCATCAGATTCCCTCTATCAATTAATTAATTTTCCTCCCTTGTTTTCTGGTTGTTTTTCTTTTTTGTATGTTCTTCATTTAGATTAGATTTCCCTCTAAATTTTGCATGCTAGAGCTTAATTCTGCTCCTTCCTGTTATTTTTTCCTTTTGAATTCTCTTTTCTGCAAACACTTGTGTGTTGGATTATTCTCCTTCCTGTCTGCGTTCTTGTTTTGATGCAACAAACAGGTTACAATAATGGTGCTCAAGGTTGATCTTCAGTGCCCTCACTGCCGCAAGAAGATCAAGAAAATTCTCTGCAAATTCCCTCGTCAGTCTCCACTCTCATCTTTTTTTTTTCCTGCATGTTGTTGTTATTCAGTTGTGGTCTTGGGGGGGGGGGGGGGGGGGGGGGGGCATATCCATTCACTGGTTTTTTTTTAAATTCTAATTGGAATATCAGTTACACTATTGGATTGACTATCATTAAAAATCGTATTGAATTAAGTCCTTATACCATCGGTCTTGATTTTTTTAATAATTTTTAAAATGTTATCCAGTTTAGGTTCGGCTTAGTATGTTTGTCTTGTCATTTTATGAACAGTGCATTGTGACTTTATGTTTGGATAAGAACTGAGTTTTTTTTCTTTTTTTTTTTTTTTTTTTTTGTGTGATGTGAAATTTTTGTGACGAGAGAAATTAGAGACCAAACATATGATGAGAAGCACAACACGGTGACAATCAAGGTGGTATGCTGCAGCCCAGAGAAGATTCGTGACAAATTGTGTTGCAAAGGTGGGAAGACCATCAAGAGCATCGACATCTTACCGCCACCAAAGCCCACACCACCTGAAAAAGCCCAAAGAGCCCGAGCAGACACCCAAAACGTTTGAGCAACCTATAGATATTGCGAAACCTACCGGGAAATCTAAAGAACCCGAAAACCCAAACCAATTGTAATAGCTGTCAACCCTCCTGAAAAGCCCGCGGAGAAGCCTAAAGTAGTCCCAAACCTGACCCACCAAAAAACCCTGACCCGCCACCAATAGCACCTCCACCTTCTTTGCCTGAACCGGTATCTGCATATCCAAGTGGGATATGTTGTGGGCCATGCTATGAAGGTCGAGTTGGGGGACCATGTTATCATGGGTACGGAGTGCCTCCACCACCACCACCGAGACCATGTTATGGTGAGAAGCCCAAAGAGCAAGAGAAGCCTACAGAACTCGTGAAACCGGTATCTGGATATCCAATTGGGATATGTTGTGGGCCATGCTATGAAGGGCGAGTTGGGGGACCATGTTATCATGGGTACGGAGTGCCTCCACCACCACCACCGGGACCATGTTATGATAGATATGGGTATTATGGGGGTTATGGTAGGGGTTATTGTGGGAGTCGTGGTGATTGTTTTAGTGACGAAAATCCATCAGCATGCACAATCATGTAATGGGTGGTGCGTGGACATTGTCATGCCCATCATCATGATCAAGCTTTGGATTCTCTTTGGGAAAAAAGTCCAGACATTATCAATTTTGGGTGGATGTGGGTTTTTCAAAGGTTATTGTATTTGTGTAACAATTATGATGGATTGATGTTTATATTTTCTTGTATTTTATTGCAATTGTTGTTGTAGTGGTTTTATGTTTTAGTCTTATTAATTTATTGTGTTGTTAAATTGATGCATGTTATTTAATTGAATTGTTAAAATGATCTAAAAATTAATAGCTACAAAAGTATTTATCTGACTTCTTATCCGATTAATCAAATAGAAAATCGGGTAAGAATGTCACACCTGATTAAATTAGATAGGCCAAAAATAAATTTTTTCTCAAAATATCGAATATAAAGACAAAAAATTATATTTTCTACCCTAAAATAGGGTGAACAATTCTAATTTTTTTTATGCGTAGAGTTGTTGGTCGCACTTAATTGTCCGAGAGAGAGAGAGAGAGAGAGAGAGAGAGAGAGTTGCGGAGCTTTAATTATGTACGTGATTTTTTTCATTTGAGTGATAGTGACAATTGACAACATTGAAGGACCCTCTTATTTGGGGGCCCTAAGTGGCTGGTTAGTGACTTATCGTCTGGGCCGACCCTGATGAAAGTCATACTATGAAGATGACAAAGCATGATGCTTTCATTAATAGAGTACAGTTGTAGACAGAATAGATGTGAACTCACACAACTATTTACCTTTTGCACCTCGAGAAAATGCCCACCCCCAAAAAAAATTCCAGAGAGAGAGAGAGAGAGCAAAACAAGTGATATGATCACACAGATAGGAAATCTCCCAGAAAATCGACTAGCAAGGGAAAGATGTCCAAGAAAGTGCCCAAGGGCTCATATACAGCAACACCCATAATCGACCAACATTGGACATTTAAGACCATAACATTGTGGAAATATACAATACAAACATAGCCACACACACATGAATCAATCCCTAGAAAGTCAAAAAAGATCAAACCTTCGTATTACCTTCGTCAATATCTGCTACGTTTCTCAAACATTTGATAACTTCGAAAAATGTCTGATATGAACTCATGACTATAACTCACACAATCGACTTGCAAGAGAAGGTGCCCTCGAGTTCATATAAACACAATTAAGTCCATACTTTACTATCCGGAAAAAATCCATACTTAAACCAATGTGAGACATTTAAGATTTCAACATACCATCATGTTTACAAAGCCAGCATGCACTGCAATCCATTCAATTTCCCACAAAGCCTACCAGTAATGTAATCTTACCTTGCGTTTCCCCTCCTGTGACGACGATCATTAAGCCACAACTTATCCCTAAAAAATGACAAAGCAAGGAAACGTGCCCAAGGGCTCATATAGAAAGAAGGTCTAAATGGCTGAATTAGCAAGGATAACTATCCTGCCTGGTATGCTTAGTATTTATAAGCAGAGTAGTTACAATGTGATAAGTATTGATTGTTACAGCAAAAAGATAAGATAAGATATGAATGCAAATATTCAAATATAATTGAAACTGAAACTGGACTCTATCGACAGTTGCCACCATTTGTTGAAATATTGTTGAGAGTTAGACCTGATATAATATTCTTAACATCCCCTTTCAAACTGATGGGAGATTCAGTGGCCATTAGTTTGTCTTTGAGTAACAAGAATCTTGAAGAAGTGAGTCCCTTTGTAAATACATCTGCTATCTGATCAGCAGTGGCTATGTATCGAGGAATGATGTCTTTGTTAATCACTTTTTCTCTAATGAAATGATAATCAACCTCCACATATTTAGTTCTAGCATGAAAAATAGGATTGGAGGCTAGTGCTAATGCGCCCATATTATCATACCACAGCTGTGGAGTAGGCTCAATTGAGCACTGCAAGTCTTTGAAACACATTCTTAACCAATATAATTCAGCTGTAGCAAAGGCCATAGCTCTGTACTCTGCTTCTGTGCTGGATCTAGATACAATCGACTGTTTCTTTGCTTGCCATGAGATCAAACAATTGCCTAGGAACACGCCATAGCCACTGGTTGATCTTCTGTCTAGAGGATCTCCAGCCCAATCACTATCACAATATGCTACCAATTGCAGTGGTCCTGGTTTTAAAAATAAGCCATGATCAATGGTGCCCTTTAGATACCTTAGTACCCTCTTTGCTGCTGTAAAATGAACAGTGGTAGGACAATGTAAAAACTGACATAGTTGATTTACTGAATAGGAGATATCAGGCCTTATAAGGGTGCAATATTGTAGAGCACCAACAATATGTCTATAAATGGTGGGATCAGGTAAAGGATCACCCTCAAGTTTGCTTAGCTTCTATCCAGAAACACAAGAAGCTGAATAAGGCTTGGCTCCAAGCATATTGGTCCAATCTAGTAGACTATAGATGTATTTAGCTTGATTGAGATGCATCCCTGTAGAGGTTCTGTGTACATGAATGCCAGAAAGTAACTCAAGTCATCCAAGTCCTTCATCTTGAATTCCTTTTGCAAACTTTGAATTAACCCCATAATACTAGAGTTGTGAGAACCAGTCACAAGTATATCATCAACATAGATGAGCACATAAATATGTACTGGACCATTGTGATACATAAATAGAGAAGTGTCCAATAGAGAACCTGTAAAGCCAAGACCTTGTAGTGCTTGAGTAAGTTGAGTATACCTGCCCTTGGGGCTTGCTTAAGGCCATAGAGAACCTTATGCAACCTGCATACATGATTAGGAAATGCTCTATCCACAAAACCTTAAGGTTGTTCCATAAAAACTTCCTCATTGAGAAAACCATGAAGGAAAGCATTGGATACATCCAATTGTTTGATAGGCCAGTCAAAGTGTAGTGCAATAGCCAAAAGTAAACGAATGGTGTCTGGTTTTATTACTGGACTAAATGTTTCTGCATAGTCAATGCCATCTCTTTGTTCAAATCCTTTCGCAACTAATCTGGCCTTATATCTATCAATGGTACCATCTGGTTTTTGCTTTAACTTGTACACCCATTTATTATGGATAACATTTATGTCTTTGGGTCTCAGGCAAAGGCTCCATGTCTGATTATCCAGCAAAGCCTGGTATTCACTTTGCATTGCAGAGAACCAATCAAGATTAGACATAGCTTTAGAAAATGATGTGGGTTCACATGGCAGAAAACTGGTATGTAAGACTTTAACAGGATGATTGGTGGACTTGTTGGAGAGATACAAATGATAGTCAGGGAATTGTTTGGGTTTGGAAGTTCCTGTCATGGATCTAGTGATGATCTGTGCAGGAGGTAAATCAGGTAAAGAAGCAGAGGTTGGAGTGGGAGGGGATGCTATTTCTGAGGCATGAGTAAGGAGCTGTGAAGAAGAGGATGATGTTATAGGATCTGAGGTTTGATTAGGAGTGGTGGCTGTCTCAAAGTCAACTGAATTGACTGTTGGTGGGAGTTCAGTATTTGAGGTGGAGTTGGTGATAGGGTTAGGCTCAACTCTGAGTTGATTGGAGGGAATGTGACTGCTTGTGAGCATATTCTGAGGTGAATGCATAGGAATAGGGGGAGAATTCAGTGAATAAAAATGAGAAGGTAAGAGGATAGTACCTGATGGAAAGGATTGTCCTCGAGCAGGGTAGAGAGTGCAGCCTTTCTCCTGTGCGGGGAATAAGTTCTCATCAAAGACTACATGTCTTGACATGTAAATTTTATTAGTTTGCAAATCTAGACATTTATAGCCTTTATGATTGGTACCATAGCCTAAGAAGACACATTTTTTGCTTCTAAATTCCAGCTTGTGTTTGGTGTATGGTTGAAGAAGAGGATAGCATGCACAACCAAAAATTTTAAAAAGGAGAAGTCTGGTTCTTTATTAAATAACTTGGTAAGAGGTATCTCAAATTGCAACACAGAGGAAGGAAGTCAATTGATTGAGTGAACTGCGATATGAAACGCTTTTACCCAATATGTGGATAAAAGATGAGATTGGGCTAAAAGAGTTAGACTAGTTTCACACACATGCCTGTGTTTCCTCTCAGCAATCCCATTTTGTTGGAATGTACGAGGACAAGTAAGTCGATGATAGATTCCACTGTCAGTCAGAAATTTGGTGAATAAATTTTTAGTATATTCACCTCCATCATCTGTTTGGAATTGCTTAATTTTGCAAGAGAGTTGGTTTTCAATGATGCATTTAAACTTGACAAAACAATCAAACAGATCAGATTTGAACTTTAGAGGAAATAACCAATAACATCTTGAAAAATCATCAATAAAGAGAACATAATACTTGAATCCATTTATTGATAAAACTGGTGAGGTCCATACATCACTGTGAATCAACTCTAGAGACCTAGAAGACACACGGTTAGACTTATTAATAGGTAAATGTTTGCTCTTTCCCAATTGACAAGGCATACATAGCTCTGAGTGGAATTTATTGGATGACACAGGTAGCTGGTAGTTTTTAAGGACTCGATGTAGAGTTTGAGGATTAGGATGGCCTAATCTTTTGTGCCAGATATCTGTTGATGCCTTGATCCCAATCAGTGCTACAGATGCTCTTTTATTGGTGACAAACTTATTGTGATGCACAGGATATAAGCTGCCTTCACTGGGTCCCTGTAGGAAGATTGCCCCTGTCAAGTTGTCCTTCACCAAGAAATAAGAATCAGTCAGTTTGAAATAGCAATTGTTGTCTTGACAGAATTTTTGAATAGACAACAGATTATTGGAAACATTGGGACAATGCAAGATATCATTTAGATGTAAAGCAGAGGTGGGAAGATGATAGGTAGTGGAACCAGTGTGTGTAATATTTAAGCCATTACCATTTCCTACAGCTACAGTCTCAGTACCCTGATATGGTTGCTGCAATGTAAGGTTTTCCAAGTCTGCTGTGATATGATTTATAGCTCCACTGTCTGCCAGCCATGTTTCATCATCATGAAAAAGGTTGGATTGAGCCACCATTGCTGCAAGTTCTTTCGGTGGGTGTCTGCCTTGGTATGCATTGTCCATCCTATGAAAACAGTCCAAGGATTGATGGTTGGTCCTGCCACAGATCTGACAAGGAGGCTTATTAGTGGCAAACTGATTTGAGGATGGTTTACCTTGATGGGTATCGCTGGTTGAAGAAAATGGTTTCTTTTGTGCAAGGTTTTTGCCAAAGTTGGGTTTCTGAGATGACCCATACTTGGGTTTCCTATTCTGTCCAGGTCCTTTATTGGAGTATAGAGCAAAGGAACTGGACTCAATAGTTTGTGTTTGTGCTCCTAGTAGTTGTTCATAACCGAGTAGCTCAGATTGAAACTCCTCAAATGTCATAGCAGTATCCTTTGTAGCAAAGGAATAAAAAGTGACAAAAGAATTATATTGAGGGTTGAGACCACCCACAATATAAGAGATTAGCTCTTCATCACTTACTGGTTTGCCTACAAGGGCAAGTTGATCAGCTATACTCTTAGAATAGTGAATGAAATCACTGCAGGTACATGATTCCTGTCTGGTTGTTTGAAGTTGTCTCCTTAAGTGATTGACTCTGGATCTTGAAGGTGAAGCATACCTAATAGATAATGCTGTCCACACCTGCCTAGAGGTGTTTAAGCCATACAGTGTTGGAACAATTTTATCAGACAGTGCAGCTATAAACCAACTTAAAATAAATTGGTCTTTCTTCTCCCAAGTCTCATAAGCAGGATTGGGATTCATTTTGTCTGGTTGACTAGGATCAGCAATGAGCTTAGGAGGAGCATGGTTCAAAGTCGCGGTATTGGTCATCGACTCGGACGGCACTGAGACACATCGGTCGTGATGTCGCGGCACGGTATCGGCCGATACACTCAAAATGCTAGATAGAAAGCTCAAAAAAAATTATAAAAATCATGAAAAATCCTAAAAAATATAAACATCATCATTCATGTATCATATTCTCATAATACGTTATTTAACACATTCAGAATAATCAAAAGAAATTACAAGGGCGCTATCAAAAATATTGGTTGTATGATCCCAACCAATGTCACTTTTTTTGGAGCCATTCTAAAAAATTAAGAATCAAATATCACTATATTGTTAAGTTTTCAATATATGTTACTATAATTATTTTGAACATACTAATAATTAATATTAAAAATTTTAAAATAAAAACAACAATTTTGAACATATTAGATAGTAAATTAGATAAATACATTAGATCCCACTGTTACTAAATAATATATTAATGTGAATACAAATATATATTTTTTTACTTTTAAATTTTATGAAAATACAAACATTTTATCTATTTAGTATTGGTCTAATATTTTGATTACAAAATATTTTATCCATTAAACTAAATAATAGATGAAAATATAAATGAGGAAAGTGAAGACTGAAAAAATAAAACAAAAATATTGTCACGTGGGTCTCAGTTTTTTTTTTTTGGGTCATGTGGGTCTCAGTTTGAGTTAAAAAGAGAGAGAGAGAGATAAGGGGGGAGCTAGGTAGGGGGAGTTAGACGAATAAACACAGAGAAAGAGAGAGCGTACTGGGGGAGAGAGCGTGATCGACAAAGAGAGAGAGATCACAAATATCACATGTAACTCGAAACTTCACTGCTTGCGATTGTGATGCTCCGCTGCCTGGGATCTAAGGTTTCAGCAGTGGGTATCTGCTGCAAAGAAGAAGATGAAGATGAAGAATTATTTGTTACCAGCGATCGAGATCAGCGATCGAGATCTGCGATCGAGGGTTTCAGCGATAGGCACTCCAACTCTACTCCTAAAGGGCGACAAGAAACGATGGGCACTCCAGCTTTGCTTATTTTGTTACGAATTCACTTAACCCATAAATATGCAAGTGAGTCTCCCATTTGCTTCTTCCTTTCTCTTTTCTTTAGGGTTTTTGCTGCTCAGATTTTCTGTTGCACCATAACGGTCTGACTCGGCTTGACTTGGCCGAGTTTGACCGATTTAGCTCCGAATTGGGCCGATACCACTGAGTTATAACCGAGTCAAGACCGATTCAGTCGAATCTCGTTATATTAGTGTAACGTGTATCGTTATCAGATCGGCACCTACCGAGACGGATACGACTCGGCCGATACTTTGAACCATGAGGAGGAGCAGGTTCTGAGCCATCAACAATGCCCACAAGCCCATTTGTTCTCAAGATGGGGGTAAATTGACACACCCATGCAAGGTAATTTGTGTCATCAAGTCTGGTATAAACAGGATGAGACATATTGGGAACGGAGAATGGTGCGGAAGTGAGATTGGATGCAGCCATGAAAAAGGTGTAAACCGATTTGCTTTGATACCAAGAAAGAAAGTCTAAATGGCTAAATTAGCAAGGATAACTATCCTGTCTGGTATGCTTAGTATTTATAAGCAGAGTAGTTACAATGTAATAAGTATTGATTGTTACAGCAGAAAGATAAGATAAGATAAGATACGAATGCAAATAGTCAAATAAAATTGAAACTGAAACTAGATTCTATTGACAGCTGCCACCATCTATTGAGATATTGTTGAGAGTTAGACCTGATCTGATATTCTTAACACATATAAGGCAAACCCATAGCCATACATGACTAACATGGGACGTTAATATCATTACAGTGTGCAAATATACATAACAAACATAGCCACATAGACATGAACGAAACCCTTTTAAGTCAAAAACAAAAAAAGAGAGCAGAACTTCAGCCTTCAAATATGATAGATTCCTTCTTCTAAATCTGCTACATTTCTCAAACTAAATAAATCATTGACGCTATCTAATTATGCGATTTCAATGTATTGACATACATATATTCCAAAAGAAAAACATATTAGATTCAACCAAATACACATCTTGTAGTTGTAGCTTCTGATCAAAAAAGTAAAATATAAACAAAAATTCTCTACAAAAAACAAAATTGACCAAACCAACTTGTCTGCGAGCGATTTGAGAAGAACAAAAGCAGAATGAATGTCCGATTAATCCTTATCCTCCCTAAGATAAAAGGTATAAAGTATTGTTGGAGTAGGTCTTGATGCTTTTAAAAACATGGGGGGTGGGGGTTCAATGTAGGTGGGGCTTATGGCGATTAACGTGTTTGGGTAGTTTGGCGGAAGAAGCAGGGAAGATCACGGGTTTGGAAGACATGTGCTGTGTGATGATGATGATGATGGTGGTGGTGGAATGGTAATGGTAATGGTAATATTTGTGTCAGATCATCTTGTTTTGGGGTGGGAAATGTGTGAAAGGTAAAAAGGCTTAAATTACTTCCTCACCCCACAACTATTGAGTATTTAATTTTGGGGTGGTGTTTGACAAAATTAAAAAATTAAGTACTAAATTGCATGCTAAATTTTTAGTGATTAAGTTCTTCTAATCTTTTTCCAAAAAAAAAAAAAAGAGAGAAAAAGTTCTTATAATCTAGATTATATTTTGTATATATTGAAATTTAAGTGGTGAATAGATAAAACTCTTTTATCATATTAAACAACTAAAGTCATACCAAGGAAGTGGTAGAAGAGTTGGCTTGAGCAGTTGGGATAAGTCTCACTTTTCTCTAAATGATCGCATGTCTAAATTCATTTACGATAGTAGTTGCGTGAATCAGATAATGTTGAAAAAGGGTTCAACTATCACCATTCCATCATTATTATTACCACTTCCATCTATATAAATGTTTAAATCCAATTGCCCTAATCTAAATTTCAGTCTAATTTATATTACACAAGTTTCAAAATTTTAATCACATATAATTCTATGATTAGAGGTGTCAAATTTGGATTCAAAATTTACACTTTAGATTAAATCATGATAAATTTGTCCAAATTGCACGAGTCTACCAAAATGACTAAATTATTTATATTTTTGTAAAAATTAAAACAAAATAGGGATTGAATATAAAAAATCTTGCACTTCAAGGAATTTTGTAAAATTTCAAGGTGTTTTCGAAATATTTCAACCAATATTTTAGAATGTCTCTGAAACAAATTTTAAAATTTTTGTATATAGAGAGAGAGAGAGAGAGAGGCTGATGAACTGAGTTGCAAGAGAGAACACTATTTTGTCTCTGACGAAACTCAAAGTCGAGACCTTATTAAAGAGGAGATGACTTGTTTTCCGTATTTTCATTTTAGCTTAGAAAACCAGGAGAAAACCATTTTGTTCTCAAAAAACATGGTTCAGTTTTCACTTTTTTGTAAAAATTGGAGAACAAAAAACATGACCAAACAAATTTTTTCTTATTTTTAGAAATTAGAGAAGAGAAAACTGTATTACAAACATATTCCAAACACCCCCCACAGTTTCTTTGATCTTTCATAGTAGCACCATGACAAAGATCCTGACCAGCGTAATTGTCCAATCCACCAAGCATTTGCTGTCTGATAGAAGAACAAAAAACTCCTCAAACAGATGTTTAGTGCACCCAACCAACTCAAGTAATAAGACTACCATACCTATCTGTATCAGATTCAAAAGCACCAAAGTATAAAACTGAAAAGAAACATCAAGAAAAAAGGAGAGAGGAACAATTTGCACAAGCCCTAATGCATTGAGAATTAGTGTTGGCTTTCATTCTATAGAGCCTACAAAACATCAAAGATCAACTACACTCATTGAAGGTTTAACAGCATGGTAACATCAAAGATCAACTACACTCGTTGAAGGTTTAACATCATAGTAAAAAAGTATGAACGGAAGCTAAGATGCAGAGAGTGGAATTGGCTTCATAGCACTTCGAATCCGACGAAACGCCATCTTCACACGTTCTTTTAGACCTTCATTTTCGCTTTCAACATCACCAGTCTGTTTATCGAGATGAGCCACAGTCCCATCAACACTTATCACCAGCTTCCCATCCTCTCCAACCTTAACATCTCCAAAGAGAGAAACGAGGAGTGAGCGGATGATTTTCTCTGCTTTCTTCTCATTTTCTGCTTCATTTGTTTCAGGCTCCGACTCCACCACCACCTTAGGCATCTCCCTGCTGGCATTTAAAACCAGAGCCACAATAGAGTCCGACACCATATCACTAATAGGATCGGCCGTCCAATGCATTGAAATATGCTTTTCTGATTCCTGCTTCACTGTTACACAATCATGCACTCGCAAGGTTGGAACCCCAGATTCCTCATCTGTCGAACACTCCACACTCTCGTATATCTGCTTGAGTCTGTGTTTTATCACTGCAAAGGCACCTGAGTAAGGGATGGTAATCCTTTGTGTGACATTTGCAGTTGATAGTTGTGAGAACACATGAAGATCATCAGGTGCCATGATCTGATAAGTGAACCCTTTCTTTACCAGCAAACCACTGACAGTTTCACCAACTTCAGTGGTCTTTTCAGCCAGCCTTCCAATAGTTTTTGCCATTTTCTCGGAGTTGAAATACATTTCAACAGACTGGCAGTTCTTAGGAGAAATAATTTTGGTGTTGCCATCAGCAAACAGAGAAATAAGCTTCTGCTTGAGCCTCCCCATCTCATTGGCTTCTCCATGAACAAGAATTATGTTAGGAGGCATAAGCTCTTCCAAGAATGCACTCGTCTGGGCATAATCTGCATGAGCCGAGAAGGAAATGTAATGCACCTGCATGTTAAGAGGAGCAGTGAGGCCATTCATAAGGGTAACTTCCTTTGGTTCGTTAATGATCGTTTTTGCCAATGTACCTTCCACAACATACCCAGGAATAACGCAAGCATTTTTCTTGTCAGAGCACCACTTATCAAATAACTGTCGAGACAACCCACTCTGAAGCCCACTTGGGCTTGCCATCACAACCGATGGGCCTACATCATTAAAATTCTCAATACTACTCAGCGCCGATATGTGTTTGAAATCAAAAGGGTTTGAGTTGGCAAATTGATTGCGGATCCTCTCGTTCATGGCATTGATGTAGGTCTGATAAACAGCCATGCACCTTTTTGCAAGAGGGGAAGCATAGTATATGGGAATGTTATGGAGCTCGGGATGGTTTGACCAATATTCATCAAGGATCAGGAGGAGTTCTTGTGCACGGCCAAGGGCAAATGCTGGGATTAGGACACGACCTCCTTGTGAAAGGGTAGAGTGAATGACATCCGTGAAGCGCTTCTCTCGAATATGGCGCGGCTGATGAAGTTGAACACCGTAAGTGGATTCAATAATGCAAATGTCAGGGGAGAACTGTGGGAGCTCAGCAGCTCGGAGATGCCGGTCTTCTTCACGTGAATAGTCTCCAGTGTACAGGACTCGAACACCAGCAATGTCAACCATGAACATGGCAGCACCAAGGACGTGGCCAGCGGTGTAACACCAGAACCGGATACCATTTACTTCTAAAGTCTGATGGAAATCGATAACCTGCAGAAAGGGGGTTTGATGTGTTGCGTGAGACGAAGTTTACGATAAGTAAGTTGTGATTTTATTTACATGAGTTTACTATGTAGATATCCAAAAACTGCATGCAGAAGTGCTCCTGTAATGGTTGCATAAATAATTGGCTACATAACAGTTTCAGTCAATTTATGGATGCTCCTCTTTCTTCATTAGTTATAACTGACTGCATATCTGCTTGGATTGAATCATCTTTCATCTTAGCTGCTATAAAGTAGCTCCAATCTGGTAGAAGAAAGAAAAAAAAGGTCACGCCCCACCAACACTTATAGAGGATAGATCGACGACCAGAGACCACTTTCTTTGATTCTCCATTCTCTCAAAGCTTGTATCTCTATTCTCCAAACCTCTGAATTAATAAAATACCCGGCAACTGAAGCCATTGAAGAGTGGACGTATGTCGAATTGACCGAACCACTATAAATTGTGTCTTCTTTAATTCTTTCATCGATTTCACTGCATTTATTATCTACACTAGACAGGTGGTGTGCAAAACCATTTTTGTGCATCATCAATAGCGATTAAATAAATTTTTTTGCGATTGTCGGATAAATTTATTCAAGTTTGC